TCTAACCCAATCCTAATTTAATCCTAATCTAACCTGGCCCTAACTTTATTAAAAAGCTATATTTGATAGTATGGTTACAAATAAATTAATTCTTTTTTTATTTTTATAAATTTTCTATTTTAATTTTTTTATTTATTTTTAACTTTTTTTTGTTAATTTTAATTTTATTTATTTATTGTTTTTTTACTATCAATTTTTAATTTTTATTTAATATTCTTTATTATATTTAAAACTAAGTATATTTATTTTATTTTATAATATTTTTATTTTTATATACTATTAATATGTACTAATTTCAATCTAAATCTATCTCAATCTCTAATTCTAACCAAGATATATATTATTATATATCTTGATTGCATTTAGTGTTTTGCAGATCTGAATCCATACTTAATGGATCCTAAAAATCATAGATTCAAATTCGGTATATTGAATTCAAATCTGTATAAAGAACCAACCTGCTATATGTAAAGGATTATTGAATCCAGTCTGGATCTGAATTTGTATATTTAAATATTAATTTGAATCTATACTTGGACTCGATTCGAATTTTTAAAAGTATTATATTAATCAGTGAAAGAAACTAAAGGTTTATTATTACTTACCCTTCCATATTTGATATTTTGTAATTGTCATAATTGCTTTGATGCCCCAGGTATTCATTAGAGATCATGGTTAGGATTTGTATGAATGGTACGATTCGAGGTTGCATGGAATTAATTAAAAGTTAAAATAGTAATTGCATAAACAATGTAATAATAGTGATTATATAAGTGATAATACAAAATAGCAATTAGTAATTAATATAAGGTATCGATCCTAAAAGAAAAAGTACCAAGCTTTTGAACTTTGTAAGCTTTAAAAATTGAGTTTGCTTAGTGAAAAACAATCTTAGTAAATAAACTGTATTATCTATGTGATTATATTATTATTGATAAAAGAACCTGTATAATACACGATCATTGAACAAATTAGCCAAGCAAGCAAAACCAATAGTGAAGACCAAGAAGTACACAGTAGCATTTACTTATTTGCGTCGGTAATACAAACCTCTAAAAAGGAAATGGCCAATCGGAGAACATAAAATTTAATGATTCCAGATTAGCCCAACACATGAGCAAAACAAAGAAAAACACTGAAAAAAAGAAAATACTCAAAAACTAGTGTTTAAATCAACCTTTTTGAACTAATAAAAAATAACGGGAATGAAATTTTATATATAAAAAACTCAAATTATTACTAAAAGCTTACAACCCTAACACTAACTCTAATGCTAACCCTAACATTCTAATTCTAAATTTTCTTAGTTTATTTACAAATACAATTTCTTTTTTTGGTTTGTATTACTGGCACAAATAAGTAAATTGGTATATGGTAGTCCAAGATAAGCCGTGACAGTAATGGTGATTTCTATTATGGTTTACTGTAAAAATTTTATTACTGAATCCATTAGCTATAATAATACACTATATAATTTTTACTAATTATTTTTTATATAAAAATAAGTTACAACTTACATTCTTAATTTATTATTAATTTATTTTAACAGTAAAAAATGAGTTTTATGGTAGCTATAAGAGTAAATCGAATTATTCTCCAAGGCGTATAAAAGGTCAGTTTGTATTGGTAGTTTCTATTGTAGCTATAAAAAAATTTTTTTTAAATAAAGAAATCTCCTCTACTACTTGAACTACTTTATACAAAAATATTTAACGATTAAACTCACCAAATAACTCATAGGCAAAAATTAAAATCTGCTCTAAGTGAAGATGAACTTATAAGTAAATTCTTGTTTATGTTGTTAAGAATGTGTTCTTGCAAAGTGCATCAGCTAATGCTTTTCTTGCTTTGGATCCAAGTTTATTCTTCTTTAGATTTAACGTTGTTAAGGATGTGTTCTTGCAAAGTGCTTTTGTTAGCTTATTTATTTTCTCTAAACCAAAACATCTATTGATCTTCAGGACTATGATAGTTGAATTTCTTCAAAAAGTTCTAATGCTTTGAGAAATTTGCATTGCTTAAAATATTCACATGCCTCCTTTCTCAAATCTTCAAGAGTGCTATTGTTCTGCATTAAAGTATCAAAATTTATTGTATTAGATAAATTAAGAGATGATTAAACAAAATTCTTAAATGCAATTGTATTACCTTGATGATTTCAGAAAATCTTAGATAATGTTTCAATAGGATGATGTTGACTCAAAGTTTTATCAAGAACAAGTCGGTTTAAAGTATTCATAATTAATTTTGCTTCTGGGTGATTTGCAGAATCATTATCCCAACATTTCTTATAAAGATCCATATATTAAAATAGTGTACTTTCTATAGGTTCTTCTCTATTCCCTTAAGAGACGTAAATAACAATTATTTCATTTGTAAGATGTTGGAATAGCAGCTTTCTACTCGAAATTTTCTAAAGGATTACTCTAGTGCTATAGACATCTGACTTTCTGTTATATTTGTATTTGTGATTGACAAGAAGTTTAGGTTTGATATATGAATGGAGTCAATAGAAAAGAAACAAATCATTTTTAGTGAAATTTTTTTGATTTTTAAATTAAAATAGCTCAACAACTAACTATTTAATCAAATTTGCTAAAAAATTTTTATTTTAATCTTGAAATTATATAGAATTAAAAAAAAAAAAATTATTAAATTTAATAAGATAATTGTCAAGATATTTAAGCTTGAAGTCAAGAAAACTTTTATTTAGGAAAAATTTGTCCCTTTTCTATTGACTCACTCCCATATACTGCTAGCATCTCATGAACAATTGAGTTTGAAGTTATAGATATCTTTATCATCTTTGATAATCCAAAACTTGCAATTTTTAATTTTCTTTAATGTATTAAGACATTTTTCGAATACAAATTATAAATTAAAGTTATAAATTAATTAAAGTTATTAAGTTACAAATTAAAGTCATAAATAAAAAAATAATATATACAAAATTTTTGTGAATAATATTATTATGTAAGAATAAAAGTCTGCAAGCTATTTCTTTAGCAATATGTTGCTTATCTATCTATTGTAATTTTGAAATTTTGTTTTTAGGTAATTTTATAAAGTTTTTTCATTAGCATATTGCAAAATCATATTATAATATCTGTTGCTATCTATTCGTTAACATTAAATAAATGTTATTTTATTTAAATAATTATTAATTGATATTTTAAATTTTATAAACTGCTTAGTATTTACCTTTTGTGGCTCTATAGAAAGTTATAATATTTGGATGATAACAAATATTTCATAATTGGATCCAAAGCAGAAAAAGTATTAGCCAATGTATTTTGTAAGAACTTATCTTTAACAACGTTAAATCTCAAAGATAATAATCTTGGATCTGAAGCAGGAAAAGCATTAGCTGATTCACTTTAAATTCGTTTAAGAATCTACAGATCATTGTAATGATATATATATTGTTAAATTGCGAGTTAATTTGTATTACGACTTACTGAAAAAAATCTAGTTACTGACCTACTCACTATTTGTGACACACTGTATATGATTAAAGTAGTGTCTGTTTGTAATTTTCATTGAGACAGATTATTGCGATAATATACAGTATTTTGCTAAATCAATTTGTGTCAAAATTATCATAAAAAATTCTGTTCCAGAACCTATATACTACTACAATAACACATGGTATGTTGTGGAATTATCATGGTTTCCATTGCAAGTTGCTACAAAAAATTCCACTACAGAACATGTACTAAGTTGAGTTAGTTTGTGTCTAATTTACTAAAAAATTCTGTTACAAAGCCTATACACTATTGTGATAAAAACTTAGCTATATTAGAATTATCGATTCTATCGTGATTTGCAAGAAAAATTCAGTCGCAGAACTTACTTACGATTTACTGAATCGAAAACACCTGGTAATCTCTAAAGATGACACCAGTAAATGACGAAACTAATGAATGATGACACTACATGTGACGACATTAAAGAACAATATCAAATCACTAAAAAAGCAACCCTATGAAATATGAATAATTAGTGTAATATAGTATATAATAAGAAAAAAAATAAATTATATAAAAAAAAAAAAAAAGTAAATTGATTCTTTACAAATCAGGTCGATTTATAAATACTCTAATATCATATACTTTAAATCATAATTCCTATTATGAAAATTTTCTAATAAAAGTATGAAGTTAGTATATTATAGTTAAATTATTTTGTATTAAGTCACTATAAAAAATTTTGCTAGAGCTTTACCTACTATTCTAGTAATATACAATATGTAGTTAAATTGGTTTGGTTTGTATTGAAATTATTATGTCTTAATACTCTAGCAAATATAGTTAAGTTAGTGCATTAAAAATTTTTGTAGTAATTAAATTAGTTTGCAAAAAACTCAAAAACTTATTGCCTAATCTCTGCCCTCCTTTGATACTTCACTCTTGATATTTGCATAATAACTTTTCTTTACTCAACCACTTCTTAAAATTAACATAAGTCCAACCTTTTTTAATTGGCCTTTTTTCCCTAAGAATTAAGAAATGAAATTCAAAAAAAAAAATAACAATAGTTCTGTGATTTCTATTGTTAGTTTTAAAAAAAATTCCGTTATAAATCTTATTCACTATAAAATATAGCTAACTTCTTTAAGCTTTGATATATAATAATAAAAGCATTAGCATTATAACCATTAGAATTAAGATCGGCAAAACAGTGTTATAAATCAAGAACAGAATACTTATCTTCAATATATAATATACATTAAATCATTCTATTCATGGTATTATTTGAAACTTTGAAAAATAAGAATATAAGTACTTACTATTGCAGTCAGGGAATATACCGAATTAGGATAATGTAGATCACTCCTTTTACAGCAACAGAATATCGATCAGACTATTCTAGATTTCTTCTACATGTGATTATCAGCTCTGTGTGACTAGCCAATAAAATTCCAAGAATTTTATTACAGTACAGCAGTACGTGTCTGTACGTATATACAACTCTTTAACATCGATCTTTTCGGTCCACGTTCACCCTGATAGATCTCGTTTAGCAACTGGAGGTCTTGGTGTATATTTCGGTCTAAAATATAATTAATTAATTGATGCCAATTGTCAATTTTTTTTTTTTTTAATACAGTAATACTCTAAACAAGCAAGCTAAACGTCTGTTCAACTCATGTAGATAATTGTGAAGTACTACCAGCATAATACTGCTTTACTGGGTTGTAAGTATGATATGCATTTTAAATTTTTTTTTTATTTTAATTCAATATTTAGTTTTCAGAAAATTTAATACAGTACTACTATATTAGAATAGCGAGAAAAGATTTATTTTATTATAAATGAATATGACGAATTAAGTTACTGAGGAAATTATATTTTATTATGGGCAAATATGATGAAGCATTCAAAGACTTAACTAGTTTGCTAGAAATTGAACCATTTAATATGGAGAAATTAAGGGTAGGGTGAAGTGATCTACATTTTAATAGTAATCACGTTGCTAATTTTTTTTACAATAACATTCAATTGAAATCAGGTGATGATCATATGTTATTTATATTGTACTACCTAGGCAAATTTTGTATTACCTAGGCAAATTAAATAGTAAAAACATATGAAAATTGATTTTACTGTATTTGTTAAGTAATTACTACTAAAAATGGAAATCGTTCACCTTACCTTTAACTTGAAGTCAATTCTATAATAAATTTACTATATTAAAAATAGTTTGTTCATTTTATATGTTCGTTTCATTTGCTTCCACCTCCGAGAGTTCTGGAAAGTGATGTTAACCAAAAAATTAACTTCAAATGGCCAATGGATATTCAAAAGACAATTACACAAATAGGTAAATAAAGTAGTCTTAATTTATTTATTATCATATTTTTTATAGTAAACGTATAAATAGCCATCTCCTTTTCACAGCTAATGAACTTGTGAAAACTTCCTCTGCGTCATTTAATTCTAATTCATTAATCATTCAAGAAATATCTATAACTATCTCAAGATTCATATGCATGTTGCCTTCTCCTTCGATATCATAAGCTTTTCATAAACTATATGTTTAATCTTTTCAGATTTTATTTTTGCTTACAAATATCATTTAAAATTTGTTTTTACATTTCTTTTTTGGCTTCATTTATATGGGTTGAACATTCAAAGCATGTTTTTTGATTACTTTAAAATATAATAATGGGTTTATAATTTGACAAGACGAACAAAGTTTAATAAAAAATTTAATACAAATATGGTGTCAAAATACAAGCACCAAAAAAAAAAACACAATAAAAAAAAAAAAAACTAACTTTATATAATGTAATAATTTTTTACAATTCATTTTCCATCGCCACCTTATTTTTATATTTAATTTCAAGCTCTCTGGTTTTTAATTCTAGTTGTAATTTATACTCAAGATCTAATTTGTACTTTTCTAATTCAGTTTTCTTATTTTTTTCATGTTTCTATTTTTTTTTTTCAAATTTGAGTTTATCTATTTCTAACTGAAGAAGTTTTTGCTTGGTTTTGACCTCAGTTTTTTTAGTTTGTGTAATTATATCGATGGAATTTATGTAATGCATTTCATCTTCATCTAAACGCTATTTCTTATTAGATTTTAGAGTGCAATCCTTATCATTACCATTATCTTTTTGCAAGTTACTACGATAAGTCTATATATATTACAATTATAATAATAATATTATTATTTGTTTTATATATATACAAATACAAAGTTAAGTTATATTACAGTAATATTTATCTGACCCGTGCTATTTACCAAATAGTTGAGATTCACATTTTCATGGTTTCCGAATATATCATTCATTTCATTATAAAAAGGCCAAGTTGATGCCCCTTTTCCAGTTTTGTTCGAGCTTTCTTCTATATACTTATTGATAAGTGATCAGATTTTATTATGAACTTGATCTCCTGTTTTACCATTACCAAGGTATAAAGCAGCTTTAAAGTAAAATTTTTCTTTATTCATTTGGTAAAGTTGCATATTTTCAGATAAGTAAAAAAGTAATGATTTAATAATTGTGCTTGGCCAAAAACAAGACTCTTTATTGCTATCATTTAAAACATTTTTTTGTTTTTTAATTTTTGGTTTAGAAGACGGAGAATATAGAGAAGACAGAGCTAGAGCTAAAGTATCTGATTCAAGAGGTAAATAAGTATTATCTTCATTAGATGACCCCAAATTAATTGTATCAGAAGTTTCCTTAGAAAAATTATGTCGGGTAAACTTTTTGGAAGTTTTATTTGGATAAACTGAAAAAATTGATTTGGTTTGTGCTTGTTTTAAGATGTCTATTTTTTTTTATTTTTTATTTTTAATTGTTTTGAAATTGAGTTTTTATGTATTTATATCAAAATTACTTTTACTAACTTCACTGTCGTTCTGATATGGCAATTAATAAGATCAGTAATTCATTTTTTTAATTGGGAAAAAATATATTAATCTCTATATCAGATTAATAATAAGATTTTATAGTGAGTACATATGGAGATAAATTAATACATTATTTATTGTTGATCTAAAAAAATTTTCTAAGGAGTACTTTTGCAAAGTTTTTAATCATGGTTTGTAAAATTCTAGTTTATTGATTGTTCAAGTGATTATTGTTTAAAACTGAACTTCACTATCTACTCTATTTATACGAAAATGAAGAGAATGAAAAATGAAAAAAGCTAAAAAAATGCAAAGTCTTGCTCTTTTCCAACAGTATACTATTCCTTCTATCTACCTTCTTTTCCCCATAACCATGTCAATGGCATTCCTATATGGCCACCTAATTTACCTGATTTGTACTTCTATGCCCATCTAATTACACCCAGCAATAGATATTGGATCATTGCAATAATTATAACAATGAGTAATCTACACCATTAATCACGATAATATTTAAATGCCTTCTTTATATTTTTTTTAACTCCTATTCCGTATTGATAACAACGTCCAGCATTATTTATTCCATCTTTATGTCTCATATCTGCAGATTTTGATAATATTTAAATGTCTCATTTATATTTTTTTAATTCCTATTTCACTTTCGTAACAACATCCAAGATTATATGTTCTATCAGCTTGTTCCATATCTGTTGATTTTTGATAATATTTGAAAGCCTTCTTTTATATCTTTTTCAATCCCTATTCTATTTTAATAACAATGTCCAAGATTATATATTCCAATTGCATTCCCGTTATGTCATGTTTTTGACAATAAATGAATGTCTTGTATTCATCTTTTTTAACTCCCTTTATAAACCAATTTCCTACTTGATTTATTCCATCAACATTCCCAATATCTGCAGATTTTTGATAATATTTGAATGCCTCATATTCATTCTTTTCAGTTCCAATTCCGTTCAGGTAACAATATCCAATATTATATATTCCATATATATGTCTGATATCTGCAGAGTTTTGATAATATCTGAATGCTTTCTTTATATCCTTTTTAATTCCTATTCATTTTCATAGCAACGACCAAGATTATATGTTCTATCAGCTTGTTCCATATCTGTTGATTTTTGATAATATTCAAAAGTCTTCTTTATAACATGCCCACATCTGCAGATTTTTGATAATATTAGAATGCCTCATGTTCATTCTTTTCGGTTCCAATTCCGTTCTGGTAACAACGTCCAATGTTATATATTCTATTTATATCCGATATCTGCAGATTTTTGATAATATCTGAATGCTTTTTTTATATCCTTTTCAATTCCTATTCCATTTTCATAGCAATGTTCAAGATTATATATTCTATCAGCTTGTTCCATATCTGTTGGTTTTTGATAGTATTTGAATGCCTTCTTTATATCTTTTCAATTCCTATTCCATTTTCATAGTAACATCCAACATTATATATTCCATCTATATGTCTAATATCTGCAGATTTTTGATAATATCTGAATGCTTTCTTTATATCTTTTTCAATTCCTATTCCGTTTTCACAACATCCAAGATCATATGTTCCATCAGCTTGTTCCATATCTGTTGGTTTTTGATAGTATTCGAATGCCTTCTTTATATCTTTTTAATTCCTATTCCATTTTCATAGCAACATCCAACATTATATATTCCATCTATATGTCCAATATCTGCAGATTTTTGATAATATCTGAATGCTTTCTTTGTATCTTTTTCAATTCCTATTCCGTTTTCATAGCAATATCCAAGATTATATTCTATCAGCTTGTTCCATATTTGTTGGTTTTTGATAGTATTTAAATGCCTTCTTTATATCTTTTCAATTCCTATTCAATTTTCATAGCAACGTCCAACATTATATATTCTATCTATATGTCTAATATCTGCAGATTTTTGATAATATTTAAATACTTTCTTTGTATTTTTTTCAATTTCTATTCCGTTTTTATAGCAACATCCAAGATTATATATTCTATCTGCTTGTTTCATTTATACAGAATTTCGATAATATTCGAATATTTTCTTTATATCTTTTTGAACTCCTATTCCATTTTCATAACAATGTTCAAAATTATATATTTCGTCTGATATCTGCTGATTTTTTTCAACTTTTATTCCATTTTCATAACAATGTTCAAGATTATATATTTCATCAGTTTGTCCCATGTCTGCTGATTTTTGGTAATATTTGAATGCTTTATGTTTACTTTTTTCAATTCCTATTTCATTTTTATAACAATATCCAACAGCATATGGGCTTGGTGCTGCAAAAAGAGACCAAATTGACAAGATATTTTTTTACATAAATCAATTTAGAATAAGATTAGAATCATTTTTTACTTAGGACACAAAAGTAGTTGTATTAATAAAATTTTGCAGTATTGCTCTTTAAAGTTTGTATTTTCTTATGATTTATTATAAGATTTATAATATAAAAATTGATTTTCTGATGATTTTTTGTTTTGTCAATTTGGTCCTTTTTTGCAGCACCAAGCCCATATATTCTATTCAATTCTTATTCCATTTTTATAACAATACCTAATAGTATATATTCCATCTATGTGTTTTATATGTACAGATTTTAATAATATTCAAATGCCTTCTTTATATCTTTTCCAATTCTTATTCCATATTGATAACAACATCTATGATTATATGTTTTATCTACATGTTCTATTGGGGTAGGTGGTCAACTAGTTAAATCGAACTATACATGGTATTATATAAAAAAAATAATTATTAAAGATTTTTTTTTGAATTTAGTAATTAGAATAGTGATTGAGATTATTTATCACTTGTATATATATTTTAATATTAAAGAATGTATTGAATGTTTTTAGATGCCTAGAGTGAATTGCTTTACTTTTTTTAATTATTTTAGCACAAATCTATTTTTAAACATGTTTATAATAAAGGATTTTAGATTCTAGTATTGAATTTTTTTTACCTGCAACAAAAATCTCTTTTTTTAATAATCACAAATTAAACAAAGTTTTTGTAAAGAGTAAATTCGAAATTTAAATATTAACGTTAAAAAAATTTCAACATAACTTTGTTATAAATGTATTTAAGAATAGTTTATACTAAAATAGTAGAGCGATTTGCTCTAAACATTTAAAAACATTTAAGTCATTCTTTACTAATAAAAAATATATATAAAGTGATAAATAATTCTAATCACTATTCTAATCAAAAAAATCTTCAATAATTAATTTTATATAATTTTGATTTACATAGTTGACTGCCTACTCTAATGTCTCATATCTGCAGTTTTTTGAATGCTTCATTTTTATTTTTTCAATTCCTATTCTATTTTCATAACAATATCCAAGATTATATGTTTTATCAGCCTGTTCCATATCTGTTGATTTTTGAATGCCAGCATTATATTTTTTTCAATTTCTATTCCATTTTTATAGCAATGTTCAAGATTATATGTTTCAATTGTATTCCTATTTCAGTCATATATTTTATACTAATTAAATGCCTCGTACTCATCTTTAAGATACCAGTTTTCAGTTTTTTAACATTTTTAAAATTTAACTTTGGCATAATTTTATAAGTTAAAAATAGGAATAATTGATGAGATAAGATGGGATGTCTAGAATAAAACAAGGTATGGCAAAAAAACCTGAGACCAGAACATATATACATACAGTACTAACTGGTAATAAAATTTGTAACTTCAATGTAATAAAATTATATGTTAACAGGATAATATTGTAGCTGTGATAAAATATAAACAATACGAATGTGCATTTATTTATAACTATTAGCTGACTATTTATATCTATCTATTACTTTAACGGTAAATACCCAAATCAGGATTATCAACTTTAGAAAAGACTATAACTATGTATAATTTGCTTAATTTAGATCAAAATAGCTAATTTAATTAATACTCAGAAGCAATTGTTAGAGTTTGGTGCTATGCCGAATTGTTTATTTGGGTAATAACAGCTAATAAAATTTAATTTAGGAAATTGATTTTCTACAAAAATTGCTTTCTTTAGTAATTTTGAGTTTTACAAAATTCAACAAGTTGTATAAAATACTCTATACTCTTTTAGCACTGCGAATTGAAGTGCTGCACTATGTATTGAGTATTGGTGCTTAAAAAATTTTACTTACAAACAGCTATCATATTTATATAAAAAAATTGTACCTAATAAATGTTAAAAAAGAAAATTGGTTTTTTTAACACTGTATTAATTAATAATAATAATAATAATAATAAATAGTAATAATAAAAAAAAAATAAAAATAAAATCATTATAAAACTGTAAAAAAATTCTTAACTAATAAGGGAATTCATACTATATTGTTAAAACTTTCTATTTTTACCAATATTTTGTTTTGTTTTGTTTATATAAATTTTTAGGTTAAATAAAAAAAATCACACAATGCTCATCTAATTAGAAAAACCTAGAAATCTATTTTCTTTATTAAATTTTAGTTTATTTTTAAATGTTGTGAATTTCAACTAATTTAATTCTATAAATATAAATAAATTCAATTGCATAAATTTCTTGTATAAAAATACATAAAACATACAAAAATTTTTGCTTATCTAACATTGATTGAATATTAAAAAAAAGAATTTTAGTGTTTAAAAGGTAAGAAAAATTTTTAAAAATACACAAATACCACATATCTTAATTTTTAAAAACACATAATACTATTAGGAAATTTTATCTCAAAATACAGTATATATTTAAAATATATATAAATATATATATAAATATATACCCAGAAGAATTCGATAATGATGGTATTCTAACATCTAACCAGAGTACTTCTAATTCTTGCAGAATCGTGAGAGCTGGGTATATAGCGAGTGATAATGTAGAAGACATTCATAAGGTCCATGTTACAATACTCTCCCAACCTTATGACTTATTCACTTGCTTTAATTGATTCCTTCTATCTATTAACTCTCCTTCAATTCAAGCTCCTCAAACACTCAATTCCTTCTTTTTACATCTACTTACAATTAGTTTATGGGACAAACTCTATAAACGAATTGTTATATCTGTCAAAACTGACTACAGTGAAGCTCAAATCTATTCACCAGAAGAACCTTGTCCTCTACCAGATAATGTTATCGTACCTTACCTTACTACTATCTATCTTAATCCTTTTATT